CCCGACAAACCCCGATCCGTGTAATTGACATAGCGATCTCCGAAGTTGGCGGTTGCAGGACTGGCGAGGTACCGGTTTAGGAAGTTGGCAATCGCAAAGTCCGCCGGGATCCGAACTTGGCAGTTGCAGGAGTGGCAAGGAAGCAGTTTCTGCGTGGCACGTCAAAGATTTGGAGGGTCAGTGGGTGCATACAAGGAACGGTATGTGCGGGCGTATCGAATAAAGGCTCTGCTGCACTCGAATGTCCGCTGGACGAGATCACGCACAGTAGAAAGGGTAGTGGTGGATGCATTTCTTCAAAAATTGGCGCTGCAGGACACCCAATTGACCCCTGTTAACACCGATTCTCCCCATCTTGAAAGCAAGCTCGTCCAGTGTTTCAGTCACACCTACGATTTGAACAGCTCGTGGAACTCGCACGTCTCCGCGGCGTGGACAAGAAAAACGTAGCCGTGGCTGATTGACCCCCCATGCAACCCCTACAAACGCTGAGTGGCCAAGGCGACCCCCAATTCGCGCGCTGGCGACGTCGACGTCTGACAGCGCGAACCGAAAAGCATGCCGGAACACGAGCGTGCCAGCGACAAGTCTCCACTCATCGCGACAGTTAAACCCCCTGGAAGGCAACGAAGATCGACGGCAGACCGAGAACGGACTGGGTCTCTGCCACCGACGGCGAACCCCCTTAAACCCCTATAAGGGCAACTCACAAGTCATGTAATTTTGAGCACCCACAGTACTCTCGCAAGCACTTCTGCATATGAAAAGGTCTCTGACAATGCAAACACATGCGAGAGCCCTGGTCGTTAAATAGTGTGCTTTGATATAGGCGGAACCTCAAAGTCCGCCAGGATCCGAACTTGGCGGCTGCATGAGTGGCGAGGAACCGTTTTGGAGGTTGAATAGTGCGCTTAGATTAAGGCGGAACCTCAAAGTCCGCCAGGATCCAACTTGGCGGTCGCAGGAGTGGCGAGGAACCTTTTTTTTCGCGCCCCGTCGGAGAGTGGAAGGGAGGGTCATAGGGTGCGCACAAGGAACGGTATGCAAGGGTGTATCGAATAAAGGCTCCGCCGCTCTCGAGTGTCCGTGGAACGAGAGCACGCACAGAAGAAAGGGCAGTGGTGGATGCAGCACTTAATAGTCTGGCGCTAAAGGACCCCACAAATGACCCCTGTTAACACTGATTCTCCCCATCGTCAACCCAAGGTCGTCCGGTGCTTCACTCACAGCTACCAGTAGCAAAGCTCGTGGAACTCGAACATCTCCGCAGCGGGGACAAGAATAATTTGTAGCCTTTGCTGAAAGACCCCCTTGCAACCCCTACAAACCCCTGTGCGTGCAGTCGAGACGACGACCCCCAATTCGAGCGCTGGAAACGTCGACGTGTGACCGCGCAAAACGGAAAGCACGCCGAAACAGGAGCATGTCAGCGACAACAATCCATACATCGCGACGGTTAAACCCCTTGGAGGGCAACGAAGATCGACGGCAGACCGAGAACGAAACCGGCCTCTGTCACTGGCGACGACCCCCATAAACCCCTATAAGCGCTTTTCGCAAGCCCGCAGCACTCTCGCGAGCACTCCTGCACACCAAAAGGTTTCTGACAATCTGATCACATTCGGCATGCCAGGCCGTTGAAAAGTGTGGTTAGATTTAGGCGGGACCTCAAAGCCCGCCGTGATCGGAACTTGGCAGTTGCAGGTGTGGTGGGGAACCGTTTTCTGTGCCACAGGTCGGATCGTGGAGGGGAGGGTTAGCGGGTGCACACAAGGAATGGTGTGTGCGGGCGTATCGAATAGAGGCTCTGTTGTCCTCGAGTGTCCGTGCAACGAGAGCACGGACAAAAGAAAGGGCCGTCTTTGATGCAGCACTTTACGAATTGGCGCAACAGGACCCCCAATTGACCCTTGTTAACACCGACTCTCCCCATCTCCACACAAGCATGTCGTACACTGTTTCACTCACAGCTACCAGTACAACAGCTCGCGGAACTCGCACCTCTCAGCGGCGTGGACACGAAAAATGCAGTCGTGGGCGAAAGACCCCCCTGCAACCTCTTCAAACCCCGGCTCGTGAAGTCGCGAATGCGACACCCATTTCGCGCACTGGAAACATCGACGTGTGACAGCGCGAACCGAAAAGCACGCCAAAACACGAGCATGTAAGCGGGCGCCCACAAGCGTGGACGGCAGACAGAGAACGGACACGACCTCTGCTAACGACGGCAACCCCCATAAACCCCTATAAGGGCAATTCGCAAGGCGATTAATTTTGAGTACCCACATAAACCCCTATAAGGGCAATTCGCAAGGCCTCTGCTCGCGAGCGCTTCTGGATACCGAAAGGTCTCTTACAATGGAAACCATCGCGACAGGCCAGGCCGTTGAATAGTGTGGTCTGATTCATCCGGAAACTAAAAGTCCGCGGGGATCCGAACTTGGCGTCGGCAGGAGTGGCAAAGAACCGGTTTCTGCGCTGCACGTCGCAGATTGGGAGGGAGGTCAGCGGCCGCACACAAGCTGTTGCTCAACCCCCTTTAAACCCTCATAAGGCAATTCTCAAGGCTGGCAATTTTGCGCACCCAACAGTATCCGGGAACCAAACACATGCGAAAGCGCGGGGCGTTGGTAAGGGCGGTAAAATAAATGGCGACCGTCGAAATCCGCTCGAATCCGAACTTGACAAAAAGACACTGTTTTGTTTTTGCTGCGGGCGCTGCTATATCTGTGTATTTATGCGGCGACACCATGCCAAGGCCCGTCGGTTGGGACCCAGAAAAATGCAATGTAGCCAATACCCCCATAAGACCCCTACAGACCGTCGAAACAGCGCACATTGGCAGGAAGCGAGTGATTTCAGCGATGCGATCAGAACAGCGCACGCCGGAAGGAACACGAAAATAATCACCTAAGCAGCTCGCGACGTGGCAAGCGCCAAACCGCAAGTCCGCCGGGATCCGAACTTCGTGTTGTCACCCTCGAGCGCTTCTGCATACCGAAAGGTCTCTGACAATGCAAACCATCGCGACAGGCCAGGCCGTTGAATGGTGTGGTCATACTCATCCGGAAACCAAAAGTCCGCCAGGATCTGAAGTTGGCGTCGGCCTGAACGCGAGGAACCGGTTTTTGCGCTACACGTCGCAGATTGGGAGGCAGGTCAGCGGCCGCAGACAAGCTGTTGCTCAACCCCCTTTAAACCCTCATAAGGCAATTCTCAAGGCCGACACTTTTGCGCACCCAACGGTATCCGGCAACCAAACACATGCTAAAGCGCAGGGCGTTGATAAGGGCGGTAAATTAAACGGTGAACGTCGAAGTCCGCTCGAATCCGAACTTGACAAAAAGACACTGTTTTGTTTTTGCTGTGGGTGCTGCTATATCTGTGTATTTTCGCGGCGACACCATGCCAAGGCCCATCGGTTGGGACCCAGAAAAATGCAATGTAGGCAATACCCCCATAAGACCCCTACAAACCGTCGGAACAGCGCACATTGGCAGGAAGTGTGTGATTTCAGTGATGCGGTCAGAACAGCGCACGTCGGAAGGAACACGAAAATAATCACCTAAGCAGCTCGCGGCGTGGCAAGCGCCAAACCGCAAGTCCGTCGGGATCCGAACTTCGTGTTGTTGCCCTCGAGGCGCTGGCGAACGCCGTTGCAACACGAAGCGCGAAATCAATAACCGCCCACCAAAAAACGGCAGTGGTGGGTAGGAATACCAGGCGGAAAGGGAAGTTCGGATACGGGCGAACTACAACAATCAAGCGGTGTGTTCTCACGGGCGTTGTTCGTTATTCAACGAGGCCATCGCCACGAAACACGTGGCGCACATGGCGAAGAAACACCGTCAACACTTCGGCGAGCGGTGGCGTCGTTCTCCATCTTGCGCACGCAGCGTGTTTATTGCTTGCTCGGGAGCTCAAAGTCCTGGTGTTGATCGTACGCAATGCTCCATGGCATCGCTCACGACCAGCGCCAGGAGCGAGCGTTGATCATCCCCCGTCTCTCGGATGGATGATGTGCACGTCGTGTGTGCGCACATACGTGGCGTTGGGCGTGCGCAATGCGGTGGCGCATCGCGCACGACCAACGCCAAGAGCGCGCGCCGATCGTCCACGTGCTGTCGGATGGAAACGACACCAGCTCCCCCGGGATTGGCGCCGTAGAGCGTGCGCTGATCATCCACGTGCTTTCGTGGTGAGCGGCACGTGGATGATCGGCCTCCTCCGCTCGAAGGCCGAAGCGAGTTTTTTTAAACAGACCATGGTCGCGCGCAGCCCACGTGGCACCCGCTTATCTTCCACCGCACCCGTCGCGACAACTGTCTCTCCCGCTCTCTCAGTTCGCCCCGCTACCCAGCCTTGGATCTCGTTGATGATACAAAAAAAGTTGCGAAACATTGAGTATTTTCCAAATTGTTAGCCAAGTTGGAGAGGGTTGTTGATTATTCCTATTATTGCCGAACTGAACATCGTGTGGATGCGGAAGGAAAGGAACGTGGAGGAGTCACAAGTCGTCTGGTAGATCGAGAGGAACGAACGATTGAGAAGGAAACAAAGAAACCATGTGCCCCATTGCCAACCCCGATGATCAACATGTGGTTGATCGGGACGAACGAACGAGTGAGAAGAAAAGAAAAGAAAGAAACCATGCACCCCAATGCCAACCTCAACCCCAGCAGGAATGATGTGGACGATGGCGACGAGAAAAAAGACTGAGAAGAATAGTAAACACAAACATTGTGTGCCCCAGTTTCATCGATAGCCGTTTCCAGCACATGCGACACGCGTCGCGCCGCGACGGCTGTCATGCGCCGGCAGCAATGTGCCCCAATGCCAGCCTCGACAGTTGTCGTCAACGGCCTAGACGTGGGCAGGCAGAACACCGCTGTACCTTGAAGAGATGGCGCAACTCTTTGACGAGGGCGAAGCGAAGAGGATGGCGACCACGTGTCCACTAGGAACACGAAGACGGGGTGTCGAAACTCCGACAACTGGAGCGCACAAGCAGTCGGAAGGACGACAATGACGCGACGGCGAGAGGACACAGACACTGTACCATGAAGAACGGAAGCAACGCTTTGGCGAGGGCAAAGCGCAGGCAATGGCAGACACGGGTTGATTCAGAACGCAAGGACAGGGTGTCCTGTCTCCGGAAGCTGGACATCGACTGGGATGATGAGCGGACGGGAGGACGGGGCTGAGGTGGACATCGACTGGGATGAAGAGCAGAAACCCAGAAGCCCACGCTCGAAAACACGTGGCGCGACTGCGAGGCAGCGAAGGCGATGGCCGATGTCGCGGAGGTCACGTCGCGTTCGAATGCGCTCGTGGGCGGGAGATGCGAATGGGCTGCACCAAACCCGAGGTAGCTGTTCACTGGCATCCAAATCCGTTCTCCAACTGCCGTGGGACCGCAAAGAAAGACCAGCCCGCCGTGATTTTGGACGACAAACGTCGACTGTCTGATCTGCAAATTGGACGGCCAGACGGCGACTTCGCTGTTTAGGCAGGCGAAACCGCCACCGCCACCGACCCCCAAAAAATAACCCCCCCCCCCCCCC